GGAAATACTCCATCTTTTATAACTCAAAATGTTCGGTTCTTATAGTTTTTACCGGTTTTCTTGCTATCGGCTAAAGATATTTTAATAATGCTTTGAGGAATCTGTATGTAATCGAGGTTTCTTTAGTTAGACTTGTGGATTCATATTTTTTTCTCATAACATTAACACATATTATTTTTAATAATTTTTAATATATCTTCAACTATGACAATATGATGACTAAATCTAAAATTTTGTTAAAATAAGAATTGAAATTAATTGATAAGTAGACATAAAAAATTTATCTATGTTTTCAATCCAATTTTCGAAGCTTAATTCAAACTAAAAGATAAAATAATACTATTGTATAAATATTTTACAGATATCAGATTTAATTTATATATTTATTGTTAGTTACAATATTATTACGTGATATATTTTTTTTATCACAGTATATCAGGCACCGATGAAGTACAACTATTTTCAAAAAAATATTAAAAATATTGAATATGAATTTTTTTTCATACTTCACGATCGCCATGTTATTTGAAAGACACGTGCAGACACGTCAGTGTCGCGGCGAGTTACTGCGAGTTGATCAAGTTTTGCATATGTAACGAAGTTTGATCGTCACGCGAAGCGAGAACGCGGACAGGTGTTTTGGGTTACACAAGTACAGATAACTTTATTGCGTACGTTACATAAATATTCGTCTGGTTACAGCACATTAGAGCCTACCTCCTATATCACATGTGGGAAAGCTGCAAAAGACACAACTCGACTCGGCTACGTACAAAAGATTTACAATAGTTTTCGCACGTTGTGTTTGCACACGCAGACATAACGACGAAACGTGTCATAGGTTTTTCGTATATATTTGTTTTTACAGAGCTGCACATACGTAACTTTGCACGCGCTACGCGGGCAGTGCTACGATGTTCGCTACCGGTCAATATTAACGACTATGTGATTATTATTCTACAAAACACGTTTTATTGATCTCTAAAGTTATTTAAGACAAATACTGCTTTCAAAACTATCTTTTAAACTATCGTTAATTACTAGTCGCACTATATAAGTCTACCTGATGCGCACTATCGTTGCAATAAGCGAATAGAAAAATATCATTTTAATTCGCAGTTATTATAATAAAATAGTGTATAATTTTCATATAATATACAATGACTAAACACGTCCAAAATAGCATAGGGTAGAGATTTGTATATTTGGCTTGTTAATTCTTTTTGCCCCTGATTTCAACTGTCTTTCTTCGAAATATAATCTTATGTACTACTTATTTTCTTCTATAGATAGAATTTTATAGATATTCGGAAATAATTGTATTGTTGGGTGTAAGAAATTAATGCATTTTTAAATTAAAAATTTTTACAGTATTTTTCCATTCTCTCTCTCTCTCTAATATTTATAAATGATTTTCAGAACATTTATATTTTATGTCACGTATAGAAAAATATATTCGACAATTAATTTAAAATCTTTATTATTTCGACAATTTTAATATTACATATTCAATTCGATTTAATAATCTTTTATTTTTTAAATTTAGTTTTGTGCCATAAAAATATTGCTTTATTTGGATTTATTAAAAACTCATTAAAACTATTAATGGTATCGCAACAAGTAAAAATATCAAGATCTTACGTTCTGCAAATATCTAAGTCTACTTTCTGAACTTTTCTATCTAGCGACACAAATATTTGTACGGTGCCAGTAGAAAAGTCACACATACACAAATTGATTTGAAGTACCGTAACTCGAAACTTTTCGTGAGAAAGAGAGAGAGAGAGAGAGTCTTCCGTCGGCGTTGAAGAGAGCCTTTTCCTCTCTTTTTATTTTCTGTTGATATTCGTCTCTCGAAGATTGACGGCTGACTCTTATCGATGTTATTTTACACGTTGGAATAAAAGTTCAGGACTTCTGTTCTGGCAGCTTGCGCGATAGGAAGACTACACGGGTTAGGATCCCAATTAATCCCAGGGCAGCCCAACGATTCGAAACATTTTACAAGACGATTGTTATTGGCTGAACAACAGTGAACAACTGCCCAAACACATGCGCTAGGCGCCTCGATGGGTGGTCTTAAAGTCGGTGGAGCCGGAAACTGTGCCACTGGTACACCCTTGCGATTTGGATTGATTCCCTGAAAATAATCCATTGAATTTTATGTTGGTCTAATATTAAAATTTTTAAGTTGGAGATAATAAAAGTAATAGGACAATAGGAGTCGACACCGAATATTGGATGATATACTTTATATAAAGAAACAACGATATAACATATGTGTACAGATAACCGTTAGATGTTTCGATCCTCAAATGTGTCCTCTTCAGTAATAATTAAAAGAAAAATAGCAAAGACACATAAGACCCAAAGTCATTATGTCCTATTGTCCTATTACTTAATAATTTTTTTTTTACTTAGAAATTTGATTTTTACATTTGGAGCCTTTTCCATTGTTAATTTTTTCTAATACTATTTTAATTACTAATCACGACAATAAAAGTATCTAAATATTATAACAAGAGCTATAAAGAAAGAATGTACATCTGTTCTGTTGTGCATGACGGAGTTTGCAAGAATAACATTTAGCAGATTTAGCACTTTTTTCTTTTCTAAAAATTATGTCGCAACTTTTGGTAACAATATCGCAAGAAAGCGCCGAAGATGAAGGCCGGTGCTGCTCAGCGTCCGATCAATTAAGCGGGACAAAGCAGGGCAGCCACGGGCTTGTTGGGGTCGAGGGGGCACGAATCTGCCGCGCAACTTCCCCCGTGGTTTAATGAAGCGCGCTTTAGTTCGGTACCGCGAGACAATTGACGACCACGAGATCGGACTCGCCGGTGAATAAACCGCCGGTGGACAGCCGAATCGGGTTTACGCGATCGTAGTGCGGTGAAGTGTTTTGACAGACAAATGGAGAACTCACCGTGAAATCGATCTCGTTGTCGTTGTCGAAGCTACCTCTCGGCTGGAGGGATGTCGGCGAGAAGCCGCCAGGACGGACTATTATCCTTGCGCTCACCGGCAGGGAGTTTAGTCTGGCTAGTTCTTGTCGTCTCCACTGGTCGGTCTCCTTCTGTCTGTGCTCCCTCATTCTGCAGCAGATGGAAATAGGGTCGTGTTTATCGGATGGTTCGAATGAGTAAACTCGCCTCGATGATACGCTTGGGATGTTTCCTTAATTAAAGTCGCACTGTTCACAGACTCTGATATATCGCACGGTGGTTGCTATTTAAAATTTTACGCGTCGGAAAGAATATCTGCGATCGCACCGGCGAAATTTATTGTGCTGAATCACAGGAAGCGTGATAATATCTTTCAACTCGAGAGGTAATTAGTAATACAATATGCAGTAAACTAGAAAAACAAAATATTCATGAGATCTGCAACATTGACTTATAATTCTGTTTAACGTAGTACCATTCATTTTAAGCTCATATTGTACTTTAGGCGGTTTATAATTCGTAATAGAATACCTTTTCCTCAAATGTTTATTCAGTTTGATGGAATATAAAATCATGAATGAAATTTTATTCCGAATTCTGTCGCGATTTCTAAATTTATATGTACAGAGATTTGTGCTTATCAATTTCATTGCGGTAATATGTTGAAAGTAATGTTAGTCTCTGGCGATAAGGGATTACTGATAAAATAAAAACAAACGATAGTAATAACGAACATTGATAGCTGCAAAGCGCGACTCTCTTTCTCTCTCAAATAAAGTTCGTTGGCGTCGCGCCAGGCGAAAACTTCATTTTTGCGAAACGCTGTGCCCCCAAGGACCACTTACGTACCTCTCTTCCTGTTGTCGTCTCTCGTCCTCCAATCTTTGTTTCTCGCGCTCTGCCGCCGCTCGCCTGGCCTCCTCAGCTCGCATCAAATTACTCGGAATCGGCCGGCTATCCTGCCGCCTTCTGTGCTCCGCCAAAAGACGAGGGTCCTGGTAGTAGATCGGCCTCGTGGCTTCCGGCTGTCTCGCTCTTCCAGCTTCGCTCCAGGATCGTTCCCTCAGCATCTCCTGCCTTCTTCTCTCGGTCTCTATCCTCTCAAGCTCCAGCCGCTTCCTGTCCTCCTCGTACCTCCTGGATTGCTCCCTCCTCGCCTCCTCTTCTCGCCTGGCCGCCTCCTTTCGCATCCGTTCCTGATGTGCCCGTCTCTCTTCCTCCTCCTCCCACTGTCGCCTGGCGAGTTCCTTCCGTCGCTCTTCCGCCTCGTACCTCTGCCGCCTTTCCTCCTCCAACCTTCTCACCGCCTCCTGCTGCCTCACTCTAACTTGCTCCGGTGAGCTTCGCGGATCGATATACGTAGGCGCCGACGGTCCATGGGCTCTCCTCACTCCTGGATCGGGATATCTGTCGCGACGCCTGGCTTCCTCGATCAGTCTCCGCTCCTCGAACCAGTTACGATCGGCCGTGGTCGATTGATTATCCCTCGATGGCACGTTCACTGGCTGGTTACTCCTGATGTAATCCTGTAATTTTCTCTCTTCTTCCTGCCTTCTACGCTGCTCCTCCACTCGCCGACGGTACTCGTCGTCGTTTCTAGTCGCATTCATCCGTGGATTTCGGTTCTCCTCGGGTCGATAGCGCCGTCTCTCCTCTTCCGATCTTTGATCGGCACGATTGACATTGATAGGTCGATTTTGCGCGATGTATTCTTGCAGCTTTTGTTCCAGCTGTCGGTCCTCTTGCTGTCGTCTTTTTTCGTCCTGATCACGCTGTCTGATATCGTTCGGATGATTGACTGGATGTTCCGCGCGCATTAAATTTGATGGTGGCTGCTGTCGCCTTCTCTCGTTTTCGTTCTCTTGTTTCCGCCTCTCTAACCATTCCCTACGACGGTCTTCTGGTCTCATCCTATCGTTTTCGGAAAGATTCCTCGTTCGATCTTCCTGACGCCTCCTCTCCTCGTCTTCCTTTCTTCTTTGCGCTTCTTGCCGCAATCTGTGCTGTTCTTGTCTCCTTGCTTCTTCTAATTGTCTTCGCCGTTCTTCCTCCCGTCTCTTCATTTCTTCGTCGTGAAGTCTTCGTTTTCTGTCTTCATCACTTGTAGAAGAGGTTCTAGAATCTGATCTTCTCAAGTTTCCCTCCTGCCATTTGGTCTGCGGTCTTTTTCTCATTTCTTCTTCTTGCAATTGTCGTCTTCGTTCCTCTTCCTCTCGCCTTCTCAGCTCTTCCTCGTTTCTTCTGGCCATCTCTTGCGTTCGATTGCGCGCTGCTTCCTGCCTTCGTCGTTCTTCCATCTGTTGTCGTCGTATCTGTTCGTTGTCCGTACGAGGTGTTGAAGTGTGATATATTTTCTTATGATACTCCTCGTATTGTCTCCTCCGCATCTCGTCTCTTCTTCTGTTTTCTTCCTCCTCCCATCTATCCAACGTTCTTTGATTAGCCTGTTGCATTTGTCGTAAATGTTGCTCCTCTTCTCTTCGTTTTTGTTCAAGCAGTTTCTCATACTCTTGCCTGATACTATCGACATCAGCATTTAATCCGCGATGTTGGTCACGTCTCCTAGATGTGTCTTGATGGTATCGCATTTCATGCTGCCTGCGACGTTCATTCACGGTTTGCAACTCATCGCTGGACACGACACCTTCATCCTCGCCGAAGCCCCAATCGATCGACCGTCTCGTGCGCTTCCGCTCGCCTTTGCCGTCCGCAAATCCCTCAGTATTTGCTTCGGCAAACCACAGCAACCGTCGACCGTGACTCCTGCTGGCGCCGTCATCATCGTCCAATGAGACGGTTTCTCGCTTCGACTTGGTCTCCTCATAGTTCTTAATTTTGAGATCCATCAGAAACCGCTTGGGCGATTCCTTCTGGTCGGTTACGAATCCGCTAGAATTCATTAGAGTGGATCCACCTAAATCTCCCCGCACTGGTAACTTGTCCGGTCGCCTGAATTCGTCCAGATGGTCGGAATTAAGATGGCTGGCATCCATATCTCCCCTATTCGGTTTGCTCCTTTTCGTGGTAGTCTCCAATCTCTTGAGTTTGAGCAACTCGTCCATCTCCTCGTACTCTTCCTCGTCGTATGACAGAACGTCGTCGAGATCCAGGGATACCGGCGTCACGTCCAGCAATACGGACGCCGGTACCTCGCCCTTCTCCTTGTCGAGCGTATCTATCGATCTTTTCGCCTTGTGGGACGACGGCGACGCTTCGAGACCCTCGCATCCAACCTGTAGCTCCGGCACGCCGCCGACGCCAAAGGCGTCTCTGTTGACCAAAGGAGTCTCGGTTAGTTGTTCTTCGAAAAAGTTGGACTGTCTGTGACTAACGTTCGCATCTGTCGTTGTCGACTTGATTTCTGTTGTCTTTGCCTTGGAATCCAGATGACCGGTCTTTTTTGAAGCCTTGCTCTTATTTCTCGACGGTAAATTTGTGGAGGGCGTAGTTGCGGTCAGTAAAGTCTTCTCTTTAGATAGGTCTAGCTTGTATATTTCCATCGAGCCTGGACCTTGATCCTGGAACGTGTCGTCCGCCACAAAGGGGTCGTCCAAAAGGTCTGAAGGGGATACCACCGTCTCGCGCGAAAGCGTTTCCGGCATCTCATAGCCGTAATCGACTTTGTCGGCCGCGAATTCCGCGCCGACGATATTCGGCAACCGCCTTTGCCAGCCTGAAAAGGGGTAGATTCGCTTTGACGAGACAATGTCCTTCAAGAGATCTCCAAGCGGAAAATCTCGCTCGGTAAACTTGGCATTACGAGATAGAGCTTCTGATTCTGCAAAAAAGAGGGAAATTATTTCTTTAACGAGATGCCTCACAACATATACTTAGATGCTCGATTGCTTCGAAATTACTTAATAGCTATCTAACTTTAATGAGCCATGTATTCACAAATGATTATTCACAATTAATCTAATATTATTTTTTAGTTGCTCGAAACGCATAACATTTGCGATATCCTTCGTTGAGGTTTTATATATTCAGATTTTTTTATGTAATTTAATTTACACAATTTAATAATATAGAAATTATTATCGTTTTGAAATGTCACAAAAACAAATTCTTATCAAAATTAAATTAATCCAATAATGTCTCGCGTGAAAATTATTTTTATATAAAAATCAGACTATTCAAGGACTACACAAATATTTTTCTTTTACAAATAATTGTATCTTTAATACATGTAAGTTTTAAATATTGTGCGAACACACACACACACACGTGTAGTATTTCACGATGCAAAACTTTTCCGAGTAATATGCAAAATGTAATTGCAGCGCATAAGAACTTCATGAACTTCGCATCGGATCTGAGAAGTTTAAAATAATTTGACTCGATGTATATCCAGGCAAATTGCAACTTGAAATTAGATGCTTATTTAGTATGATTTCTATCGCAAATTAGACATATTCAGAAAATTAATTTGAACTATTCTCACGTACATTAACACGCAACTTGAAATGCCGGTTTAATTTAGATTTAATCTACGGGCGAGATTCTTCAAAAGATATTTAATAACGGTTTTATACGCGGCTAAACTAAGTGCATACTATAGCGACGTAAGTAATGCTCGACGCCAATTTATTTCCCCGAAATTCTTGCGTGCTGTTGTAATATAAAGGCCAACGCTTGTGCTACCCGAAAAATATAGATCTTTCATTATTCTCCTAAATAATAGCTCTCGCATTTCTTTCGTACTAACAATCGCATAGAGAAAATTTAATTATTTTTATGTATTTTTGAACATATCAAACTCACTTCTTTAATTTCATTATTAAAGTATTCTGGTTGCTTTTTCCTTCAAATAATTTTTTTAATTTTGAAAATCAATAAAGGACGCAATACTACCACAAAATTGCCATTGCACTGACAACATTATTAATATAAATCTTGAGAATATTTGACACATAAATATACATTCTGAATATTAATATTATCTTCAATCCAACGCGCTAGAAAGAAATGAAAATAACTACATTTGGAATTGAATGCATGCTGAAAATTCGAGCTTTTAACAGCCGCGAGGTAGTATTCATTCGATATTGGAATTGCACGAAGACGACGGCCAAGGAAACCTTGATTAATCAGAAAGTCGGAGCGAACGGATTTCCACCGGTTAGGCTGAGCGACGCGTTTCGTCGCGACGCGTTTATTCCGTCTCCATTAAACGGCGTGACAAAATTAAATCGTTGATGTAATTAAAGCCAATTGAAATAGAGTAATATACATCTACTTAGCGAGCGTATAAAATACTAAACGTAATAGATGTAAATAATAAAATGAATATATTTCTATTTGACATTCTCTCAACGGAGAAAGAGAGGCAAGTGGCGATTATTTCTATAAAATTAAATGAATATTGAGAAATGCGAGCCATTATATCTGTTCCAAATATTTGTACATCGAGGAAAGAAACGAGGAAGATTTATACAAAGCTTTCTCCGATATATCCTCTAAAATGACAATTTCGACATCAGCCCTTGAATTGACAGCGGGACGCAGTATGGCGCTTTATTTTGCTCAGTTTGACATAGCGTATTGTAGAATCTGGACGTACCCTCAGTGGAGATCGACCTTCGCGAGCCGATTCTAAGGTCGACCGGTTGATCCTCAGCCGGATCGTGATCCCTCCAGTCTCCAGTATGGTCCCGTTGAATCCCAGCGTGTCGGCGCGGAGACGCGGGGGAGTATTGATCGTGAGAGAGGCGGAGGGTGACTGCTCCTCCTATCAGAACCGCCACCGTCAGCCAGACCGTGGCCAGAGCCACTGTCACCCGTGGTTGCATCCTCCTGCAATCAAACGGGTGCTCCCTCGTTATTCCATCTCAGGCGAGCCCTTTACGGCATTCTTACTTCGCTTGCGCGTTACGGTAGAATCTCTAATCTCTTAATCCTTTAATACGTCTGAGTCCCTCATATTTCTTTTTTATTCTACTTCTTGAGCTAAGGTTCTTTGAGGTAAAATTGTAATGGTAAGAGGGAGAAAAGCCAATGAGCGCCAAAGCACGGTTTCGTATTACTATTTATAGTAGCTGTAGCAGCTATGATACAGTCGCCTATTGACAGCGAAAAGCACAAGCAGATTCTGATATTTCAACGTGATAAAAATGAATATAGTCGTTTTCGACGTGTGCACATACATGAATCATCTTTTGTAAAGCCGATTTTTTGTTTCGTAAAATAAGCTGCGATTTAAAACGAAAATTCCAAAGACTTACCTATGTATCATTCAAACGCAAGCATGCAAACTAACGCGCTCCAAGCAGTACCACTCTCAGAATATACCGCGAAGAATAACGTATTCACTGTAACAACCATCTAACACGCGAATCTTCTTATTCCCAAAAGGGAAAGCAAGCTTGGCTCTTCCTGACTTTGAATCTCACACAACCCTCTCTCTCTCGTCACCCCGTTCGCGAGCTACTCCGGCATCCTTCAAAGGACCGATCCGTCGCTTTGCCGAGAAAGATGAAAGCAGGCACAAGACAGCCCGTCTGTCTACCGTACAGCTCTCGAACTACACTCGAACTAGCCCTCTTCTCTCTTTGATTTCTCGATCTAGCTCTTCCTACACACGAATCTACCGCTACTTTGCGAGCGACACTCGGAGCGCACCTCTCTTAGCGAAGCGAGAAAACGCACGAGAGGGACGGAGAGATAGAGAAAGGTCGATATCAACGGCGAATCGAGTGATCTTGACACACTGCCCGCGTCAGGCCGAAGTGGCTAAACTTAATACCGCGGCGAAGGAGAAGGCGCGGAAGGCCGTTTGTAGAATCAACTCTCGTGTGTGCATGACACGCCAATTGACTTCCGCCTACTGACGTCACGTTTCTCTCTCCCCCTCTCTTTCTCTTGCTTTTCGTGGACCCGTCAGCTGATGTGACAGCCAGACCGGACGACTACTGGCAATTTCGACCAAACGCCGCTGCTCATTTTCTTCATTTCTCGACACGCGAGATGTCACGCGCTCTACTGAGAAATCACGGGATTTTTAAGTGCTCGCGGGGAAGACTCGTATTAATCATCGTTCATGGTTCCTGTGAAGTTTTGAGTGACGTTGGCGGAAAGTACAAGCGTAAAGTAAATCAATGATAAGAACGGGGATTTATTCAAACTTGCTACAGTCTACTGCTAATTCTCTGACGTACCGAGAGTGATCTAGTGTCTAGAAAGAAACTTGAAGAGTGATAGATATCTAAATTTGTTATTTTTTAATTATTTCAGTTTGTAGAAAACTACAAAATTTTAAAAACGTAATAATCCATCTTGAATATTACAATATCTCAAGTTTCTAAATCTAAAACTAAAAATCTAATAAAAATTATGAAGGGTAAGAACAATTGTATCTGAGACAAGATTTCGTGTAATACTGATAGTTTTTATTCTCACTTAAGTGACAGATTTTTCCAAAAAGTTTTCTTTTATAGCAACAAACAAAACGAGAGATTATAATGAGTGGCTTAGATCTTGTCATTGCAGTCAGTAGATCAGCGCAAGTTATTCTTAGCTACTTATTTAGCGTCCAAAGGAAGCGCGGTTGATCGGGCGCTCTAGCAGACTCGTTATATTCATATCACCATAAAGTCAATTAGAGAGCAATCGCTTCTCTTTTCTTCTATTCGGCGGGTCTTACGCCACAACTACTAGAATAATGTATGTCTTTTTCAATCGTCCGTTCTAAATCGCAATGCTGTTACGTACTGATCCGCAAGCTTACGGTATTCTTTTTCTTGTGGACATATCGTATCTTCGCGATTAAGCAACTTGAGTGAGGGGAATGCGATTTCAAGCAAGAATACGTGATACATTCTCGAGTACGCGAACGAAAAGATATCCCGGCGAATGAGAATTTATTAGTCGCCGCAAGCGATTGCTTGGATTTAACGACGGAATGCATTATTTGCGGCAAGATATAATCGCTGATGCAACGAGATAGAATCGTAATGTATTACCGTACGATACATCACAGTTTTTTTCTCTCGATAACGGTGCAACAAGAATAATAATCCACTGACAATCGGTAAATGCATAATTACGAAGGAATATTGAAAGACATTATTGCAGGCTATAATGGAGTCGAGAATTATGTCCATATCAAATGACTCTAATTATTGGTTATTACAATATAATGCTCGATTGCGCAAGTAGAAGAGTGATTAATTAGTAATGGACCGCGCCTGTAATTAAATAGTCGCAAACTCGTGTTCCGGGCGAAACTCTACCTTGTAAACTACAATTACGTTTAGCACGAAACGAGATACACGATACAGTACTGCCAAAGTACTTCATTCGCCTGCATACATATTCATGCCTACCGATACCGATTCACCTGCCTCACTGCAGAATCCAAACAAATATCTTTGTAACATTGCAAGACGAGTCAAAATATTGCTGATATTGTAAGGCAATTTTACAATTTTATCCAGCGTTTTACTTGATACTGTTAAATGCGGAAACGACGAAAGCATTGTATTTCACGGATCAGGTTTTACGAATTATTTCGTTATGTTTTATCAAGGACAAATAGTGCAATTAATACCTTGACACGAAGATGCGGCACTTGAAATTATTGTACAGATTTGTGTGTCGCAGATGGTCATATTTAGCGCTAAGTGCAGGACATAAATACGGATTGAAGCGGTAATTAATTTATTCCTCCGAGAAATAGGCTTGCCATGTTCTTACGCGTATCTTCAATTATGGGGGATGCTCGCGGCGTCGCGCGAACTTAATTGCACAAATTTTCGTAGACAAGGCAGATTAAAGTTCTGCCAATAGTCCGCACAGTTTCATTTCTCTTTTCCACCATCTAATTCCCCATCTATCTCACTGTCTCTCTTCAATTCATCTCGCATACCCGAGGCGAGAGCGACGACTGGAACGAACTTCCCTTTCACGTCTAATTCTTAGCGTAGAACATTGCTATAGTCTTCTCTCTTATTGTAAATGCGGTCGGAATACGTTGAGGTAGGATTCTGAAAACGCAAAACGAGCACGTGCGAAAAATACAATTTTTTGGAGGATGTCACGTTAATCTTTCACTGATACATTTGTAATTAACTTAACGAGGTGTCAAAACTGAACGCAAATATCCACAATATTTTTGTGCTTTTACGAATCTCCTTTTGCTGCCTTATGCCTTCTTCTTTGTACTTCCTTGTAATATGGAAATGAACCGCATTGTACCCCCTTTTAGCATAATTATCTAAGTCTTTTTCATTTCATTATATTTGTAATTGTAATATAAGAGAGTCTCGGAAATGCAAATTACATTTTGATAAAGACCAACAAATTTAGTGGCGGAGATTTAGAAAGTTATGCACTTTCTACTGCTTGTGACTTAAAACAAATTCTCCTTCGACATTTTTATTAATAAAAAATTAACTTTATATTAACTTAAAGAAGAGTTTATACAAACATTTATACAAAATGAATGGTTACTACTAATTTTCTACTGAAGATTTGAATGCAGCGATTCATAATGGACCTGGAGTATATTCTGCAATCCATGAATGAAATTATTCATTATGCACTTGAATACTTTGCATTCTTGAAACGCTTGTTGTATTGAAACTGTCGGAACTGCTATGGAATTGTCAATTTTGAACGCTTTCGCCATATCTTGAGCTGTTTGCCGCGAGTCGGGAAACCGTCTGGAGAAAAGATCGTTCGGGGATTTGAGCAGGCGCGCCCGCGCGAACGAGACAAGTGTGGCACAAGTGCGGCTGGTTTATTGTGCGGCACGCGAAATCGGATTAGGATCGCGTTCGACTCGAACGCATGTGTATCGCCGATCGCCGATAATAACGCGGCGCGGCGTGGCGGATAGAGCACTAAAACGGCCGCTAAAACCGTCGTCTGCTCGCTGCACAGTATATGTACGCGTCCGCGCTATCGATCGCACCCCTTTCGGTCTGATCTTTCGTAGATAACGTATTGAAATATTGGGACTTTACGGGAATCTCCTGATATACGCACACGCTGTGCGAACGCGATGTATAACATTCACGTGAGGCGAACGCGATTCTTTTCCATTAAATTCGACTCATGTGTACCTCTATCACGCGCGATGATAAATTTTCTCGCCGCGAACGATTGACCGTCGAAACTTTAATGGCGGTCGTTATGTCTGCCGTTACGAGAAAGGTGCATAATGTATCGAAAGGGAGCATTAGCGTTGCATTATTGCGTGCAGAATGACTCGGTATTGCGGAATATTTTAAGGACTGAATACACGATGCTGGAGTGCATCTTTCCGGAGTAGAATTTATATGAAAGGCGGAATTGTGGAAATATTTAGATTTATCGCTCGTATTCTCTTCGCCTAGAAAAATATTCATCTATTAAAATTTAATGCGCGTTATTAGTGCTATATTAAGATTTCTACCGTAGCAGCGCGGCAGCCAGAGAGGTCTTCGACATTTCCTTAATCGGGGGGGCTTTTTCTCGCGCGGAATCAAGAAAAGTGGTATTAGCATATTAAAGTGTGCCGCGCCGTACGGGAGCGTTGCTGGTCGGGAGGTTAATTGCGACTTAATAGGCGGCCCGCTTTCTGCCGTTACAACCGTTATTCAACGTTACAACGCGCGAATTCCTTAACGCGGAATGCGAGATGCCGCGCGATGATTTATTTCTAGTAAGCGACTCGCGTACAAATGCATAAATAACACCGATGCGCGCGCGTCGTAAAACGGCGCACGGAATGTCTTTTTCTCTTTCATCGTTTCCGGGCAACGCGTCGATATCTCCGCTGTAACTTTCTGCTGTCCTTACAAGTGAAATATAAA